GGGGGTCGTCAAGTGCTGTCAGATCAGCCCTCGGTGCGCAAGCAGTGCGGCGACGAAGAATCACACGCAACTCACGTGTTGAAGATGTTGTTCAAGCTCTGTTCAGTCAAACCCATATCAGCAAGAGCTTCGCGCGTCACTTCGAACCACTTTTCAGGCGGAGACAGCTTGGCATACTCTTCGTCTTCGCCAGCGATTTGGGAAGCCAGATCCGTGCCGGCCGTCAGGGAAGTCTTGTTGATGTGAGCGGACCAAACCAGCCTCTCTTCCCCGAAAGCTTCCAGCGCAGCATCCAAGAGCACGCGCAACCTGGCTCGAAGCTCATCCCTGCGACCCCGAGGCGTATTGTTGGCGACAGCCTTGGTGCCCGCTAGACCTGCCGCAGAGGCGGCCCCAGCTGCTACCTCTGTGGCAGTCCTCACTGCAGCGGCTGCTCCGTCCAGCGCAGCCTGAGCCGTCGAGGCGATGGTGGCTCCTCCAACAGCGCCCGATAGCGGCGCAGCAATGTCGACTGCGCGACTCGCAGTGCTGCCAGAACTGATCGGAGACGGCAACTTGAGGGGCGACAATTTCAAAAAGACGCGCGGATGCAGCGCAAGGCGCTGTGGAGAGTGGTTCATTCGGAGCAAGATGCGTCAATTGTGATCATTCGTCGAGCAGCGCGTTCTCCCACCCCAACGAGCAGCAAGCGCCACTCACGCGCACGAAGCCAGTCCACTCGTTGACCACTTCGCTGGACAGCATCTGAGAACTGTCGTCATTCAGAGGTGGTGCACCCCATCCATCTGCATGGAGCAGAGAGGAGCAACATTGTCAGCCCATTGCTCGAAAGCGTTCTGCAAAAATCCAAGCCGGGAGAGGTGCGCATAGAATCGCCTGTTTTGGCTCCATCGCGGGTCGATGACTCACCAACAACAATCTTGAGACCATTGCTGGCAATGTCTTCTTGCGACTTGCCGTCCGCCTTGCCCCTTTGAACTTCCTCGTCCCAAGCTTTGCTCAGCAGCTCCTCTACAGCTTCTCTGAGGTCGTCCGCCTCTTTCTGATTGGCAGCAGGGGTAGCCAAAGGAAGAGCAATGTCGAATGTGAGATTCTGTTTGCTTCCCTCTGCGAACAGCTTGAGCCAGTCCTCAAAGTTGTCTTTCAGCGCCTTGGCGGTGGTAAAGGAGGGCAGGCTGTAGCTGAGCAGCATGTGCACCGGGTTGGCATCCTTTGGCAGCGCGGGTGGAGCTCCGGCTTTGGGAATCTCGTGCAAGGGTGTGATGAGACCTAGTGGCACCTGATTCGTCGCCCCGAGAGTGGCCTTGATGTGCGCCGTATCCTCCACGCCCTCGTGAGCCTTGCGCTCGTAGATGATCCTGTCCAACTTGATAGCGGAGCCTCCTTCGCTGGGTGGAATGCCGAATCCTTGAGAATTGTACTTTTGCGTGACGGCATCCACATCCTTGGCATCGCCGCTACCTCCGATGACCAGCGAGAGCTGCGTGGGTCGAGTGATGCTGTGCCCCTTGGATTTCGGCGTGGCTGCAGCGGGCTGCACGTTGGCACCAAAGGCCTCCTTGGAGAGGGGTGCCAGGTTAGCAGGACGCTTGCTCTGAGCCATGACGAGCGACGAGTTATGAGAAGGAGTTGCCGAAGCGCGCGACTACGTCGAACACGTCCTGAGTGGATTGAATGGCTTGGGGAGATGAGGGAGCGACAGTCACAGTCCCGCCTTGCTGAGCGATGAGACGTGCTCGATAGTAGCCGATGAGGGAGATGATGAGGGCGATGAACAATAAGCTGCACTTTCCGCAACAGCCTGCGCAACCTGCTGGAGATGAAGCTGCTGCTGCTGCGTCTACGGCGTCTCGACGTGGCATGCGCGAGAGGCGAGGCGGATCAGTTTGTATGCTGTTGTGCTATACGCGCCGGTCGCAATTGCTGCTCGTGTGTGGGAAACAAGCGCGCGCGAATTGAATTGAATTGAATTGTGAATGTGAATTGGGCGAGTACAGTACGTTGCACACTTGGGAATATGAAGTCACAATCGTGAATGGGAAGCGACAAGCGAAATCACGAATCACGAATGCAGCTCGAGCTCTGATCTCGGCTCGTGACGTGACTGCGACTGCGACTGCGACTGCGACTGCGACTGCGATGTGACTTGGGGCAACGACAACCAAATATCGGGGGAGAAGTTGCTTGCCCATACCCCGCGCTGTACGTGTACCGGTACACCCACACAGCAGCCAACACATGATGCTGCTGCTGATGCTGCTGCTGATGACGCGCATGCAATCGAGTACGCTGTACCGGTACTCTAAGCTCAAATCGTCAATGCGCATCACACGCCATCAGCCGCGGGCCACTCTTGAATCAGCACAGAGAGGGTTGTGAGTCCCGTCACGAGTCACGAGTGCACTGGCCCCGACGTGGGTTAGGGTGATGCAGCTATAATCACGAATAGGCACAACAGGCCAGCCAGGCACAGGCAGGCAGCAGCAGCAGCGATCGCGAGCGCATCGAAAGCAAAGCAAGCGGGGCGACTCGATCGCGACCAGCAGCTAGCAGCATGCATGCAGCAAGACAAATGTGGAGAGGCGGTTGAATTCGTGCTTCGTGCTTCAGCCGTCGCCGCGAACACATGCAGCACAGCACGCATTCAATTTGCGAGCGATCGAGCGACTCACAACAACTCTTGTGCTGCTGGGGTGCATGCACCGATGCCGCCCCCCCCCGCATGAATGCAGCTCATCAGCAGACCCATGCATGCTGCACCGGCAGCAGCAGCAGTCGCGAGTTGCATGCTCCACGGGCGCTGGCAGGCCGTGCACCTCACCCGCGAGTGAATGCTCCAGCAGGCAGCAGATCATCCATCAGCAGTCACGAGTGCAGGACCAAGTGACGTACAGGTACGAGTCGCCGAGCAAGCAAGCTGCCCGCCCATCATCCATACCCCACAGATCGGACGCTCATGTGCGAGATAGCACTCGATCGGTCTCTGACTCTTGACTCAAAAGTCATGGGCCGCCGCGTGATTCGTGACTCTGATGGCGATCATCCATCATCCGACTTCGAGACGTGGATGCATGGCCACCTCGCGCGATGATTTGCGTCTGAACAGCAATCCAAGGTCACGATCGTGTGGTGCATATATGCTGCTGTGATTCTCTGCTGATGAGACGCGGGAATCACGAGCGGCTCACAGCTAGACCGCAAAGGTGCTCCCCCCTCATATATCGTGCGGCGCCGCGCTCCCCTTCATCGTGCGCTCACCGGATTCGATCACGACCAAGCCAATCTTGAATACACACGGGCAAGAGTGAGGTATTTCGGTATGCGTAGGCCGCAAGCGAAGCTGTTCTGCCCTCGTGAGTAGTGCTGCGGATATGAGCATCGATGTTGCAGGCACGAATCAGTAAGGAGATGGGCTCGAAGCTGGAAGCTGGGCCAGACAGGCGCTTGCATGGATGGTCGCTTGCGCGCTGCTGCTGTGTGTACGTAAGCTCGTCAGCGCGCGGCGTTTCGCGTTCATGCGCGCTGCGTTGTTGACGCGCTCTCGCGCGGCCTCGTTCACTGCTCGATCGAGGGCTTTGAAGCTAATCTTGAATGCATGCAGGTCATCAGCAGAGCGCTCGCTTGCAAGTCGACTCGCAATTCGCGGACGTTCTCAGCCATCAGATTGTACCCCTCCTTACCAAGTCTGCGTCAAGAAAGCTGGCCATGGTAACATGGTCGCTGCTATGCTCGAGTGGTCAAGCCACGAGTGTGATGCTCGCTGACGGCTTGAGCGTGGTGTATAATATATATGCGCCTTATTGAAGATGCTTCCTCAAGGGTCGAGCGTGCAGCAGGCTCTCGCGCGTGCTGCATGCATACGCGCGCGCGTTGGACCAGCAGCGGAATTTCAAAGAATTCAAATCGCAAATCAGAATCACGAAGGAAACACATTTTGATTTATTAGAGTCGTGAGGATGATGTTGAATGCGCGCGCGCGCGCGCGCGCGCCCGTGGCACAGTCAGAAGTGTTTCGGGTGAGCTTGGCGCCTCGCTGCACGCTACGGCTGCTGCCACGCCCGCGGCTCGATTGAAAGTTGTGCGCACGCGTCACGCGCACACACCCATCCTTGAGCAAGTCGAGTTTGAATGGCGTGAGTTGAGAGTGCGAAGTGCGAGCGAGTCGTTGGTGTGAGATTCGTCCAGTGTGAGTCGCACCAGCATCCAGTCACAATATATCACCTCACAAAAGCAGCACGCGATGCATACATATACGCTGTATGCCATTCTGTGTCTATGATTTACATGCCATCACGTATCGCTAGGGCGAGCGCGCGCGCGCAGTACCACCAGCAGCACGGCCCAGCACCCCAGTAGCCGCCTGGCCTCGCCCACACGCAACGCGCCACCACAACAGCCCAGCGCACCACACCACAACGCACCGCACCGCACCGCAACCCATGCAGCATGCATCCGCGCCCTGCTGCATCTCTTCGCCGATTTAAAGCTGACGACTCGTGCGTGACTGCTGCTGCTAGTACTACTCGTGACTGTTCCTGCTGCCACTTTGACTCGTATACGCGTGACTGCCGCTTCGTTGCCGCTGCTTGCTTGCTTGCTGGCTGGCTGGCTGGCTGTTGCTCGCCTGCCTGCCTGCCTGCCTGCCTGCCTGCGACGCTGTTGATATCGAAGGCGAGATTGCAAGCCGATCTGGCCACGCACGCACGCATGGGCACGCAAGCAAGCAAGCAAGCAATCTGTTGCGCTCGTGCGTCGAATTGAAGCTGCTATATCGTGTACGTGAAGCTTGAAAACACGCACCACTCGTGACTCAATCGTGAATGCCACTCGATATGCGAGCGAGCGCAAAGTCAGCCTCATCCTACCTCGCATGTCCAACACGTCTTTCCTCATACGCAAACGACCATCTCGGCTGCACGCATTCGTGTTGCTATCCACTCCATCTGCTGCTGCTCGCAAAGTCACGTTCGTAGGAGCTCGAGCAGCGTCAGCAACACGCTGCGAGATCAAGCTCGTCCGGGAGCACTACACTCAACACCTGCGCCTTCGTCAGGGCCAGCATTACACACGCCCGCTTGCAAGCACACACGCACACACACACACGCACGCACACACGCACACACACACACACACACACACACACACAACACACGCACGCACACGAACACATCGCTGACATCTGCACGCGGAGACCGGTGCCTGGCTCTGCTCAGCTCAGCTCATCGCATCGCTTGCTTGCCTCCTGCTAGCCGCAGGCTGCACCCAGATCGATCCATCCGCCTGCGCCGAGGCCCACAGAGGTACATACAGGCGGGACTGTCTGCGCAGGCTCGCGCAGCACCCTGATTCGCTCGTCACTTGCTCGATCAACATCAACAAAGGGCGCTCACGCCAAGCGTTGAGCGTTGCGTGCATCGCCAAGGCCAAGCCTCGTCAGCCCTGGCTGTCTGTCACCTCACCACCTCTGCTGGAGCTGTGCCTACACGACGAGGGAGCTGGTCGGACACCCTACATTCGCACGTGGCGCATACACTCCTCGCTCTCGAGCGTAGAAGATGGCATCCACGACAGGTTCCCACACGTCCTTGTCCGATGCCTACGCTGGCATGTCGTACGATGCGGAGCCTCCTCATCATCGCAATGGCAGTATCACCGCTGCGCACCAACATCACCACAGCTCTCGACCTGCGGACCCGAGATTGGCAGCTATGAGCTCAGCATCGGGCAGCGCCACCTCGAGTCCAGCGTTTGGCCCCTTGCGGACAAGAGGCGTGACATCGGATGCTACTGCGAGCAGCGCACGAGGTGCTCGGGATTCTGATCAGAGTCAAGGTTCCCAGCATCGACTCGCACCAGGTAAGCGGGCGTAGGCCGCTCACCACTCGATCCGACGCTCACCACTCTCCACTGACACATTCTCTGCTCGCGTCCACGGACGCAGGCCACATGTACCACCAGTCAAACACCTCTGCTCCGGCCTTTGACCATGGCACAAGTGGATCCAGAGGTCCCCCTCTTGCAGACGAACTCGGACACGCCTTCGACAAGATGAACGTTGGAGGTGGATCCTCTGGCAGCGCTACCGCTTCGTTGAGAGCAAAGTCTCCTGCTCCTCCTGGCGCCGGCGTTGCCGGCAACAGCTCGGGGTACGTCGAGCGCGCCAATGCCGCCTATGCGCACCAGGAGATTTATCAGAGCGCCCGAGAAGTCGACCCGTCGAACAGTCTCGCCGCAATCGCGAATGAGGTGGATGCTACGGCGAATGAGCTTGGTGGCAACATCGCAGGAGGATACGCAGAGGAGAGGAGAGCTTCAGATGGTAGCTACGTGCAGAGCAACGCTTCCTTTCCCCCTCAGCCCGGCTTTCATCCGCAGGTATCCCGACAACAGTCTGTCGCTAGCGGATACGGTCCATCACAGCAAGGCTGGGTACATTCAGACGGCGGCGGCGGCGGCGGCTATGGACAGCAGCAGGAGGGCGGGTATTGGCAGGAGGATGGCAATGGTAATGGCTATTATGTAGGCGCTCCTCAGGATAACTTTGCTACTGCACCGCATCACCACGGAGGACCTAGTGGCTACTTTGGAGGCGCAAGCGGCTCCTCGTATGGGCACGGGCAAGGCGGTGGGTACGATCAAGGGTACTACCAGCAAGGAGGCAATGGATACGAATACAGCGGCGGAGGTGGCTACCTTGGCTTCCCTCCTGGCGCCGGTCCCCCCAATCCCGACCTCATGCGAGCTCCGTCCACTGCCTCTCACGTCTCGATGGGCATGACGCCCATGAGCGGCGGTCTGCAGCCTGGTATGGGACTTGTTCGTCAGCCCACGCAGCTCAGCATGTCCAGCGCAGTGTCCACAGGATCTGCCGCGGCTAATGCGCGCAGGAAAAGCAAAGAAGCAGAGGCCAAGAGGCAGACCTTGCCATTCAACAAGGAGTTTGTAGACGAGTACAGGCACCGCATGAAGGGCGATCCGGACCCCGAAGCTCAATTCGCCTTTGCGAAGTACCTCATCGAGGCTGCAAAGAAGGTGCAGGATCCTAGAGATGGACCAAAGCAAGCCCGAAAGTATCGAGATGCGCTGCTTGGAGACAGTCTGAAGCTCATCAAGCGGCTAGCTACCACTGGAATGGGCCTGGGCAAGCCTCCTTACTCGGAGGCGCAGTACTTTCTCGCAAATTGCTTTGGCACAGGCTCACTCGGCTTGCAGGTGGACCACGAAAAGGCGTACAATTTGTACGTGCAGGCTTCGAAACAGAACCACGCAGCGGCGACGTACCGCACTGCGGTGTGCAACGAGGTAGGAGCGGGCACGAGGAGAGATCATCATCGTGCGGTTCTCTTTTACCGGAAAGCATCTGCCTTGGGGGACACTGCTGGCATGTACAAGTTGGGCATGATTCTGCTGAATGGTTTGTTGGGTCAGCCGCGAAACATTCGGGAGGCCGTGGTCTGGCTGAAGAGAGCCGCAGGACAAGCAGACGAAGAGAATCCCCACGCGCTGCACGAGCTGGGACTGCTGCACGAAAAGGGCGGTAGCAGCGTCGTGATGCACGATGAAGCGTATGCCAGAGAGCTGTTCACGCAAGCCGCTCAACTCGGGTACACGCCCTCTCAATTCAAGCTCGGCTCTGCGTACGAATACGGGCATCTCACTTGTCCCGTCGATCCACGGCGAAGCATCGCTTGGTACACCAAGGCGGCAGGCAAGAATGATGGAGAATCAGAACTGGCCCTTTCTGGCTGGTACCTGACGGGCTCGGAAGGTGTGTTGAAGCAGAGCGACAGCGAAGCCTATTTGTGGGCCAGGAAAGCCGCGCAAAAGGGAATACCAAAGGCAGAGTATGCCGTGGGCTACTACTCCGAAGTCGGCATCGGAGTCAAGTCGGATGTGGAGGAGGCAAAGAGGTGGTACATGCGAGCTGCTGGTGAGTCTGTTCGATGCGGAAAGCCGCGCTGCACGTGATGCTCACACGGTCTACTCTGCCTTTCTCAGCCCAAGGCAACAAGCGAGCGATGCAGAGGCTGACGGAGCTGAAACGCATGGGCGGTAAAGCGGGCAAGACTGGCAAGAGACCTACGCGGGGGGATGCGCAGCAAGAGTGCGTCGTTGTGTGACGTGACCAGCGACTTGATGTCTGCGCGTGCGCTGTCCCGAGCGAGCTTCTCCGCCCTTGTTGCGCCCGACGTCAGTCGCACATTGCTTGTGCCGCCGCTACCTCTTTTCTTTTATTTTTTTTTCTTTGCTTCGCTCGAACGTCGCCTTTTCGTCCTTTGTTTGCCTCTTTGCCACTGTCCCTGCAGCACTGTCGCGATTGCCACCTTTTCTTGTCGAAAGGTCATTCTGCGTGCGCTGTCGTGCGAGCACCATGACCACAGAGAGAGAGAGAGTCGTATGGGCTCCGTGCCCGCGTGTAGCAAGAAGGTGGCGAAAGCGCGAGTAGCCATACTCTCGACCGCTTCGCCCATCCAGCAGTCACACGCAGTCACAGTGACGCTGTCGCGCGTGCGCGCCCGCAGCTCAGGACGCTGAGTGGCAACGAGCAGCAGAACCTGATTGTGAGCGTCTCGACAAGGGGCTCACGATATCAAATGTAGCTCCCCTTAGCTCCCCTCCAACAGCATTCAAGCAACACGGTCGGAAACAGTCTTTTGAGTTCAAATCACGAATCGAATCGAGTTACGAGTCGCGTTCGAATGTAGGGAAAAATGCTGCAACGTCTTGCCGCACGAGAGAAAAAGTCACGCGAAAAGTTACCAGCGCTCGCTGCATATATGATGCTGAGTTTACTTTTTTGAGTGGAACTTCTTGCGCGTGCGCGTGCGTGCGTGCGTGCACGCCGCGTGAGGTTGCGATCACGTCGAGACAGACGACGGTCTCGACATCATCATCAAGCTGCTGCCGCCGCCGCTGCCGATGCTGCATGCCCACCATTGCCTGCTCATCTTGGCCCGAACTTCTGCACTGTCCAGTCGCAACTCCTCCTCGATAGCGCACGCTCTCCTCCACTCGTTCACACAGTCCGCTCGGCCAATCCGTTGTCCGTGCTAGTGAACGCACACGCGGACGCTCACCCTGCAAGAGCCTCGCAACGGTCTCGACTCATCCGACACGTCATCACCGCCACCACCATCACCACCCGCACCGCCCCTCCGTGATGGATCCATCGGGCCTCTTTGACCATTTAGAGAGCACCGATGGCCGCAGCGACGATGCGCAGCAGCGCCAAGCTGGTCCCTCCACTTTGACTCCTGCCGCTCCATCGCCTTTGGCTGCAACAACAGACACGAGCTCCAAAGCTGCTCGCAAAGAGGCACGCCGTGCCGAGAGGGAAGCAAGAAAGAAGAGGGACAGGAGCAGAGAAGCGGACAGCGCAGCGCCATCTCGCACTCCGACAGAGAGCAATGGCAGCGGCGCGGCAAATGGCGAGAGCGATGGAACAGCTGCCACAGTCGCGCTGCCGCCTCCAAAGAAGCAGAAGAAGCACAAGGTGGTGAATGGAGACACTGGGGCGGGGAGCACGGGCGCAAATCCTCTCACCGTTCAGACGGCGCCTGTGCTCACCGACGAGTTTGTGGCAGAAGCGTCCAGGAATCTGCCCGCAGAGGAGCCAGCGGGCCAGGCGGCCAAGGATGCCAAGGTGGTCAAGACGGAGCAGGGAGCTGGCACAGCTTCCGTGCAAGCAGATGGTGCTCCTACAGGTACGCTCTCGGACACTGTCACTGCTGCCGCCGCCGCAGAAGTGGCAGGAGGCGTAATCGGAACATCAGTGTCGGGCCCATCAGCTGGAGGAGCGGCTGGCTCCATGGAAATTCGTCACTCGGTGCGTCATCAGGTCGCTCTGCCTCCCGCCTATCCCTACGTGCCCCTATCATCACACGTGCCTCCAGAGAAGCCGGCCCGAGAGTGGCCTTTCACCCTGGACCCCTTTCAACGCACCGCCATCGCATCCATTCAGCGCGGCGAGAGCGTCTTGGTCTCGGCGCATACATCCGCCGGCAAGACGGTGGTGGCCGAGTACGCCATTGCGCAGTGCCTCAAAGAAGGTCAGAGGGTCGTCTACACCAGTCCCATCAAGGCTCTGTCGAATCAGAAATACAGAGAGATGAGTGCAGAGTTTGGCGACGTCGGGCTGATGACTGGCGATGTCACCATCAATCCAAGCGCATCCTGCTTGGTCATGACCACCGAAATCCTGCGATCCATGCTGTATCGAGGCAGCGAGATCATGCGCGAGGTGGCTTGGGTCGTCTTTGACGAGATCCACTACATGCGAGACAAGGAGAGGGGGGTCGTGTGGGAGGAGACGATCATCTTGCTGCCTCGCAAGGTCAGGTACGTCTTTTTGTCCGCCACGATTCCCAACGCCATGCAGTTCGCGTCCTGGATCGCGCACACGCACCAACAGCCTTGCCATGTGGTGTATACCGACTTTAGACCGACTCCTCTTCAGCACTACCTCTTTCCGCTCGGGGCAGAGGGTATACACCTCGTCGTCGACGAAGCGGGTCGTTTTAGAGAAGACAATTTCCAGGCAGCCATGGGCGCCCTCAATTCTGCCCGCGGAGAAGATCCTGCTTCGGTGGATGGCGGTAGCGGAAAGGGTCGCAAGGGTCAGACTCGCAAGGGCGGAGCTACAAAGGGACCGTCGGATATCTACAAGATCGTCAGGATGATCATGGTCAAAAATTACAATCCCGTCATCGTGTTTGCCTTTTCCAAACGCGAATGCGAGGGTTTGGCCTTGCAGATGGCCAAGCTGGAGTTTAACAATGACGACGAGAAGAATATGGTGGGCACGGTGTTCAACAATGCCATCACTGCGCTTTCGGAAGAGGACCGCGCACTTCCCCAGATTGAACATTTGCTGCCTTTGCTGCGGAGGGGCATTGGGATTCACCACGGAGGTCTTTTGCCCATCCTCAAGGAGGTGAGTGGACCGCAAGGGTGGTCAAGATACCCCCCGACACTGACCTCGCCGGATCTCACCCTATGGTCAGGTCATCGAGATTCTCTTCCAAGAAGGCTTGATCAAGGTGTTGTTCGCCACCGAGACCTTTTCTATTGGCCTCAACATGCCTGCCAAGACGGTCGTCTTCACCTCGGTGCGCAAATTTGACGGGACAGAAAATCGAAATTTGACTTCGGGCGAGTTTATTCAGGTGAGCGGGCGAGATTGCGCGAGGACGAGGCGAGGCGAGGCGAGGCGAGATTGCGCGAGGACGAGCTTGGCAATTGACCCACCTGCCGCTCTCTATAATCCCCTGGCAGATGAGCGGGCGAGCAGGTAGACGAGGGCTGGATGATCGAGGCATTGTGATTATGATGTTTGATGAGAAGCTCGAGCCAGCGGACGCCAAGACGATGGTCAAGGGAGAGGCCGACAGGCTGAATAGCGCTTTTCATCTCGGCTACAATATGATTCTGAACCTCATGCGCGTCGAGGGCATCTCACCCGAGTACATGCTCGAACGCTGCTTTTTCCAATTCCAAAGCGCTGCATCCGTGCCCGAGCTGGAGGGCAAGCTGGCATCGCAGCGCAAGGAGCTCGAGCAAGCCGTGGTGCCGGACGAAGAGCAGACGGAGGAGTACTTTGCGCTGAAGCACCAACTCCAGGAGCTGCAGAGCGATGTCAGAGAAGTCGTAACTCATCCGACCTATGCCTTGCCATTCTTGCAGCCAGGTAGATTGGCGCACGTGCAGCACGAGGATCTCGACTTTGGATGGGGCATCGTCATTCGATATCAGAAGCGCATCACGCCGAGCAGAGGAGGCAGAGTGGATGCGAGCGCATCCGAAAGGCCACAGTCGCAGTGGATCGTCGATGTGCTGCTCGACTGCGAAGCGGGATCCACGGCGCCCACCATCAAGGATGTCGCGACGAGAGCTCAGAAGCAGGTCAAGGGTGCCGATACCGCACCCTTGGGTCTACGGCCTTGTCCGAGCGGCAAAAGAGGCGAGATGCTTGCCGTGCCGGTGCTCCTCTCCACCATTTCCCGCATTTCAGGAGTGCGCTTAAAGATGTCGCCAGATTTGCGTTCGCGAGAAGCTAGAGATCAGGCTCGGACAAACTTGCTGGAAGTCAAGAGGCGCTTTGCTGGCTCCGACTCGAGAGGCAAAGGCGTCCCTGTCCTCGATCCGGTCAAGGATATGAAGATTGCAGATCAGTCGTTTGCCACGCTGTTGAGCAAGATTCAACTCGTAGAGTCTCGCCTGTCAGAGTCCAAAGTGGCAGCTTTGAGCAGAAAAGAAAGGGGGCAACTTCAAGAAGCGTACGAGCACAAGCAAGAGCTCGAGCGCGGGGTCAAGAGTTTGGAGCGCCAACTGAGCGATGCCCACAGCGTGCTGCAGCTGGACGAGCTCAAGTGTCGCAAGCGGGTTCTGAGAAGGCTGGGCTTTACAACGGACGACGACGTCGTGCAGAAAAAGGGTCGAGTTGCGTGCGAGATTTCCACCGGCGACGAGCTTCTCTTGACCGAGATGATTTTCAACAATGTATTCAACGACCTCGACCCGAATCAGTGCGCAGCGTTGCTATCTTGCTTTGTGTTCGACGAAAAGAGCGAGCAGCAAACTCGACTCAAGGAGGATCTGGCTGGACCTCTGCGAGTCATGCAAGAGACTGCGCGACGCATAGCCAAAGTGTCGATCGAGAGCAGACTGCAGGTCAATGAAGACGAGTACGTGGCTAGCTTTAAAGTCGAGCTCATGGAGGCTGTTCTACAGTGGTGCCGCGGAGCCAAATTTTCGGAAATCTGCAAGGTGCGTACGCGTGTCGTGGCTGTAGATGTTCTCGCTGCAGCTGATGCCGCCCAACGCCCACCTTGTAGATGACCGACGTCTTTGAGGGCAGCTTGATTCGCGTCTTTAGACGACTGCAGGAGCTTTTGCGACAAGTTGTCCAAGCGAGCAAGGCTATTGGGAACGTCGAGCTTCAGGAAAAGTTCGAGGCCAGCCAAAAAGCTCTGGAGCGCGAAAACTCGATCATTTTCAGCCCGTGAGTGTCGATGAGAACATACAGTGTCACTTTTGGGGCTGACGAGTTGCCTTTCCGAATTGCGTCGGCGCTTCCGAATTGCGTCGGCGCTTCCAAACTGTGACAGTTCCTTGTATCTGTAGACGGAGCAATTCATGCCGAGTGCGGGTCATGTGGCGGCGGCACGCACGCACGCACGAGACGAAGCGCGGCACAGCCAGATCGTGTCGCTCGTCGTTGCGTCACTGATTGAGCGTCTTGTCAGCATCGACGGGCTCTGTTGCTGCCTCGGCCGGCAAACGATACTGTTCGCGCAGAGAGAGAGAGATGCGCGACGCGTGAGCCGAGTCGCTAGTGGAGGGGCTTCTCCTAGGAGACTCACGAGCTGGTGCTCCGCCATGTAGCTGACCACGGCCTGTGGCAACAAGTACCTGATGCTCTTGCCTCGCCGAAGAAAGAGGCGAATCTTTGAGCTACTGACGTCGTCATAAATCACCTGCGTCACGACGTTCAAGTTTCGTCGGTACTTCCAAAGCAGATCGTGGGAGAGCAAAAATGTCCAAACGTCGGCTCCAGTGCGCTCGACGATCATGCATCCGTAGCGACCCAGAATGTGGTGCAGCTGCGCGCGGCGCGGCGAGGCGAGGCGTAGCGTGAGCAGTCAGAAGTAGCGTGAGCAGTCCGCGCGAGCAGTCAGAAAGTGTCCTCGGGCGCGCATTTGGAACGCCACTCACATCTGGTTCTGCCCACACTCCAGGCTCTCCCATGCTCTGTATCAAGTCTCCGCCAGCCAACAGCATGATGCGAATCCGCCGTCTCGTGCCGTCTGCGAGCAACACCCCGCCGTCCTGTCCGCCGTTGATTTCGTCGTCAAAGTGATCCAAGACGACTGCCGTGCGCTGATACTCGTCCTGCAGCGACTCCCACGCGTCGACCATCAACCAAGTCGATGTCCTCTCTACGGCAAGCTCGCACATGCGCACCCGGTGAGTAGCCTTGGCCAGCCCTTCCTTCTTGTAGTAATCCGAGACGGGGGAAAAGTATCCCCCCAGCAGCTCGTACTTGCCCTCTTCGATCACCTGGTCTTTGGCCATCTCAAATATTCGCAGGTGGAGGTACGTGGGCGGCGAGAAGCTGCCGCATGCTACAATGACCAGAGGCACCTTGCTGTCGTCGCGCATCCTCGTGGGTAGACGATGACGCGGAAATGCGTAGTGTTCCTTGCCCTGCGCTTGTCGCGGAACGTGGCCCCGCGAACCAGCGCCCAGCTCGTGCTGGGCGGCGTCCAGCTCATCATACGCATCGGCAGGATGACTCGAAGACTCTTCTCCGAATCCATCCACATCCTCCGTCTGCGTGTACGCCGGTCTGCCCTGTCGCTCTTGATTGGAGAGCGTCACTGGCGCTGACATGACTTCTGCCAGACCTGCGCGCGTCAGGCTCTTGACCGACCCGATCGTCGTGTCGGTAGAGTGTGGAGATTGTCTGCCCGCATTGGAAGCCGGAGCGGTGCTCTTGGCGGACAGGCCCCCTGCATCGTGCCAATAGCTCTGGGCAAGCTCGGCACCAGGCGTGCGAGCATCGTCATCGAGCTGCCACCCAGGCACGTCTTGATTGACGCCCTTGGAGTGCGCATTGTGCGCATTCTGCGACGTCTTTCGACTACGTGGCGGACCAGCAGAGCCTACGGCAGTGTCTGTGCTTGCCTGCGCCTGCATCGACTGCCCGCCGCCGCCGACGGCTGCGCCTGTAAAAGGGGGCGAGTCGAGGTGGTAGGACTCGATGGACAGGGCGGCGAGCTTGGCAGAGGCTGCCCCCGGACCGGGACCTGCAGTCGAGTCGGTCATGCGCGGTAGAGGCCCAAGTGCGCCGGACGAAGAAGTTTGCGGCGATGGACTCGCTGTCCTCGAGGGGTTCTATCGCGCAATGGAGGCGGATCAGTCATGATTGGTCAGGGCCACTCGACGCCCGGACTGAGACTCACCCCAGACATGATGGCCGTTGTAGCGTAGGTGGGGGCGCAAGGCGCGAGCAAGCCGAAGCTACACGATGCAGCGAGCGAAAGCTACACGATGCAGCGAGCTAAAGTCCCACAACTGGAGCGTAACGGTGGGTGTTGCCAGCGAGGCTTTTCGAGATGCAGAGAGGGTGGTGGCAGCGAGGCTATCCGAGGTGCAGAGGCGGTGTGGTTCAGCAAGCGATGCTCTCCTCGGAAATCTCGACTCACGCACCCGCGACCGCGCAGAAAAGCGCTGCCATGAGCGCCGCGCGCTGTATTCATGCAGGATCACCGCGTGCGATGGAGCAACAACGGATAAATGCGTCCCAGCCTAGCGGTGCCGTGCGCCGCGCACACGCAGCAGCAGAGCGCGCGCAAAAGAACGAGGCGTGCGACGATCGTTGCTCAGACACCAATGTCCCATCATCCTCCATGGCGCTTGTCAGCAGCCGGCGGTGATGCGACGAGCCTTTCCTTCCAGCGCAGAACAGAAGCGTCGGTATCGCCGTCGGGCGCAGCGTGATGTCCTCATGATCAAGCCTTGTCAAATTCAAAGAGTCAGGTGGTGCGCAACATCGTCACAAATCTCGGCCCACGCGTCTCAGATTGCGATTCAGGGTCCATTCACTAAAGACTCTTTCAAATGCACGCCTCTTGCAAACCAGCCACTTGAGCCAGTGCGTGTTGAAAAACAGACACGCTCAACCCGAGCGCAAACTGTCGTAGCCAAATGTGGCCTCGGTCCTGCGTTAGCGCGGTCAACGAGCGCGCGCCCCGCCAAAATAACGCGCCGTGCCATGACTCAGGGTTAGGGTTAGGGTTAGGGTTAGGGTTAGGGTTAGGGTTAGGGTTAGGGTTAGGGTTAGGGTTAGGGTTAGGGTTAGGGTTAGGGTTAGGG